CTTGCTCCATGATCTGTAGCTCTGTGCTGGAGCAGGGGTGTCTGTGCCCAGGAATGGCTTCACTCCCACCTGGGTGTGCCCAGGCTGTAGCTCCATCTGCTCCCTCTGCCTGCCCAGCCCTGTTATACCAAACCTTTTCAGACTCTCGTGGAAGCCAGACCTGACAGCATCACCTGGCTAATCCTTCAGAGAAACAGATTATAAAGGAGCTGCTGACAACACTCAGATCCAGAACAAAACATTCTAAAATATAAAGAAGTCCCAAAAAGCCCTCAGGCACTTACTGTGCCTCTCTGTTCATCCCTCTGAAACTGTCAAGATAGGTGGAGCTGAGAAAAAGGGAGCAGAACTCTTACAAATAGGACTGCACATTTTATTAAGGAAAAAAAAGGAGAAGAAGGTTGAGTGAACCATATCAAAGCACTCTGATATTGCAGCCACTGCTCTCATTCCCTTCAAGGGATGTTTTGGCTACAACAGCCTGCAGAAATGATCCCTCTTCCATCCCTGCCTTCCAACATAGCCTCTACAACCTGCAGAAAGTCAGCACCAAAGCAACACACCCTTTAGGTTTCAGTCTTATGGTTTTCAATGAGGTAAATTCAGTTATTTATAGACCACTTCTTCAGATTCAAACCTGTTGGAAGGGAAAAAAGAAAGGAGATCAAGTTGCTCCTTTACTATTTAATGTCCTTCTTCACCTACAGTGCCTAAAAATTAAAAAAATCTATTACTGTACCAATGAAGTTACATATAAATAAAAGCAGACACTTCGCTGCAGTATTCCATGATACAAGCATAAAGCATAACTATTTTGAAAGGAAAACTCCTTTCTAGGACTCCCCTAACTACACTGCCCTTTCTTGCATCTCTGCCACATTAAACTTCTCTCTCCTCCAGCTGAGCACGTCTCTCTATTTCTGCAGTGTCATTCCCAGGGCAGACACCTGGACTGCTACGGGAGATTTTTATCTCCAGAAGCACAAAGTGACTACCTCACTTCCTTAGGATGACAATTGCCTCTTTATTCTCCTTCTGCTCCAGACTGTCAACACTCTCTAATATGTGTATTATTCAATCCCCAGCAGCAAAGAAAACAACTAAACCAGCTGCAAAGCTCAAGACAAAACACTGGAGACACAGAGAAAACAGCTCCTCTAAGGCTGAGATAGGAAACTGTAAACACTGTAGATTTCAAGCAAAAATTTTACTTTTTTCTTTTTATTTTACTTTTTTTCCCTTTACTTTTTTTACATTTTACTTTTATTCCCTTCAGCATGGGCAGTTAACTAGTTAAATGCAAATCCAGGTCTGAACTCAATGAGACAAGACCCCTGGGAAGACAGAGACAATTTCTGCCACAGATCACAAATATAACTCCCAGGCTTGTGCTGAGAATAAAGGTTATTAACTGCACTCTGATAAACAGGTTAAAACAAGGGGAAAGCAGAGGGACTGATAGCAGAAATGAGAACCTGAGAGAAAAAAAAAAAGCAGCTAGCTTCCAAGAAAACTTACACTCTTTCCTCCTTATAGACATTCCCAGATATTTCTACAAAGATGAAATTTAACCATGGAAAACAGGATCATCAGAACTTGAGAAGAAATTAATTATTTGGGAAGGGGCGGGAAAGGAAGAGGGAAAAAAATCCTTACCAACTGATTGGTCTTACTGTGCGCTTTTCCAGGAGAACAAGAATTGCTTCTGATGCAGCAGCATCCAGCCCTGGAGAAGTCAGAGGGAGCAAAAAAGGCAGGAGAGGTAGGAAGGGAGAAGGGAGGGGAGATGAGGAAAAGGGGTGGGGAGATGAGGAAAAGGGGTGGGGCATGTACACACTGCATGTCTCTCTGTTGAGCCCTAACATTCCCATTTATTTTGTGAAAGAAAAGAACAAAGCTGTTTATAAATCCAGCAGGATTTTGTTCAGCAGTGGCTCAAGATGATGAAGGAAAAAGGTCATAGTAGGACCACTGGACTCACTAGTCAGGAGGAAGAAATGTGTCCCCACATGTGTCTGTTTAGAGAACCTGGAATGCCCAGCAGGCTTTTTGCTCCAAAAGAGAGATCATACTAAAACTTAAGAGTCCAAAAGGTAAATGCACGAGTTGTAACCAAACCTGTCAGAGCAATTAGTGAAAGAGGGAATATAAAAATACGCCAGCTATTCCCTCACCAACCCAACCAACACACTGGTACATCCCAGTCCCACACTACCATCAAAAGTTAGCTGAATTACAATTTTAGTGCCTGAAGGGAGAATGGGAGGGCAATACTCACTGTTTCAGCACACCATCTCAGCACCATGCCTCTGTGGGACTGGCATGGAAAATCAAAAAGCAACTTCTCATCCGCCAGTATATCAAATTTCTCATTTCCCACAAGCCATGCCAATTTCTCGAAATCTGCTGCATAGCTACCCAATTTGTAAACCTTTATTCCCTTGAGCTGGAAATTTTGCTTCTAGTTAGCTGCCTACCACCATCAGTCAGATGCTTTCCTGGACTTACAAGCCTCCTGAGCTCACAAGAGAAGCTCAAGTCTCGCACACATGCAGAACCCTGGCAGCTCTTCCAGCCGCATCGTGGCTGCACAGAATGATGCAGCAAATGGATGACACAGCTCTGTGCAATTCTGACTCCACAGATCTGCAGTGAGGCACAGGAAAAGCTCAGCTGACCCCTTACCTTTGACTGGCTACTCTCCTCTTGGCAAAGGTTGACTTCAATCCAAAAATTGTAGAAGATTACAAATTACATGGAGCCAAGGGATGAGACAGCACCAGAGGCACTACTGAGCTTTTCAGGTTTGCCCCTGAAAAGCTGACTCCCTGAAGCTCTCCTCTGCTCCAGATCCACAGAAAACCATAGGCTATTCTTGCATCTCATCTTTTAAGCAAGCTGTGGGAAAGACTTAGCTTCATACAGCTCCAAAATAACACAAAAATTGAACCTCTTACTGTCACAGCAACATGAGTCACCGGAGACTCCCAGGTTTACACATTGCCCTTATGGCTCAAGCAAATTATTACTGACAACTTGATCCTGCACACAGAGCCCCTCTGGCAGATGCTTATCTTAAAAAATGCAAACACTCCAACACTTGGTGTGGCTACCAGCCTGCCAGGCTCTTCCTGGCCCTTCTCAGATCACAACCTCTCCCATCCTGGCCCCACGCCCTGCTCCCAGCACTGCCACCCCACAGACTCGGAACAAACCCAGAAACACACCACAGGGTGAAAACGAACCATCTCCTTACAGGGAGAAAAAATACAATATAACCATGTATTCCCCTTCCTCCATAAAAAGCCACATGCCCCGTGGGTCCCCAAGCCCATCCCCAGAGCAACTCACAAAGGTTAGTGCAGCTACATTAATTCATCTGGAAAGGATTTTCATCACCTTGTCTCTTTCCTCGCCTCTTGTGCTGTTTCAAAAATAGCTCTGGCTTGTTTGCTGCACTGCCCGTGTCAGTCTGATTTTCTGCCTGGCTGGATGTGCACAGACACGCTGGGAGCCCGCTGGACACCACCACCCAGATCTGTACATCCATGCACAGCCACCCAAACACAAAGCACAGCCCCGTCCCTCACAGGCCGTGCTGGAAAGCTGCTTGTTTTCACAAGCTTTGCGCTCTATGCATTTACTGCAGGCCTCAAAAGGGGGCTGGGGAACACAGCACAGCCCTTTTGGAGGTCAAAAAAATGAGGCAGAAAAGCAACAAAGTACTAACATCGATCTGTCTAAAAGCTGCTAGTAAGGGCCTGCCCTGGAATGAAAATACTTTGAGATTTGAGTGCATTTATCAAGTGACCTACGGTCATTTGGCTGCCTGCTGTTAGTGCTTCTGTCAATTAAAGACAAACAATCTCTCCTGCAGGCCTTGGGGATTGTTCTCCACAACTGCCAGGAAAGGAATCGGTAGAGAAGGTGCAGATGTGCAGAAATTCTGGAACAAGCAACACTTCAAAAAAAAAACAACCCTCAGGTAAACTCTTGAAATACAAGAATGAGATTTTTCCCACTAGTACATCTTCATCACTGGGTTTTCCTGAACAGCTTGTCTTTTTAGAATAAAACAGCTTGCTGGAGCCATTTCACAAATCCCAGATTAATTCCATTCAAATCTGGCATTCTTCCCAAACCCAGTAAATCTTAGGTTCAGCCTTCAAGATCCAGCTCATCAGCTGTGAGCTGCCTTTCTGATGTGTTTCTAAATGAAACTTTCTCAGCACGCCATGACTCAGGAACACTGGTTACCATGAATTAAAGATTTCTACAAGGAAAAATGCAGCACAAAGAAATTCTGATTGCTTATTCTATGCATGTTCCTATACAGCTATAAACTCTAATATGCATTAGCTATCATTTATTATAAAAATTAATTAGTACCTATTGACATTTCTGGATGAAGTGCTCCCCAATTACTTATCTGCTAAGAAACTCTGAAATTTAAGAGGAGGAAAAAAACCCATATAACTTTTCCTGCAGTCACCAGAGGATGAAGATACCATTAAAAAGAGGAGCCTCTCAGGCATATCACCTCTTTTTATGGGTGTCTGCTTCCAAATTCAGTGCTCCATGCATTTTAACAGGGAAGCACAAAGCCCACCATACTGCAACAAATTAGCACCTTAACACACACTGCATGAAAATTAATTGTTATCTGACACCTAAGGACCTCTCCAATTTCAACAGCAATCCAACAAACCAGACGTGCAAAGAACTGGAACTGACTGCCTGGGGATATTGTGGAGTTCAATCACACAGGTCTTTAATACCAACATCACAAATGAATGGGTGAAAGTCAGTTCTGCCTTGGGGTAGAGAAGAGAAATAGATGACTGCCCAAGATCCCTTTCTGGTCCTGATATGCTGATTATTTTTTCTTTATTTCTTTTTCTGAGTCATTCCTTCTTGCATCTGCTTACTTCTAGCAACCCCTCTTAGCTGTCACTCCTACTAGGATCACACTTAGACACTTAGAAATGAAGTTTTCTTACCCATCCTCCTTGTTGAATGATATAATCTGCAGAATAATCTTCTAGATATGTCACCCCAAAGTTCACAAGGGCACTCAGTGGTTCCTGGCCCCGTCTGGTCAGCTCCATCAGAAATTGTTGTAACAGAACCAGGGGCACCAAGACCTTCAAAAAACAAGAGTTGTGAATAAACACAGAAAGCATTATCAATACTACTGTGCAGCTAGAACAAAATTCATGTGTTTACAGAAAAGGTCTGAATTTTCAAGTCCAAACCAGGGACTCTAGACTTCATTTCTCAGAAGACACAAGGCAAACACACAATAAAATGCACTAAAAAAGAAGCACTTAATCTGCTAAGCAAAAACTCACAGTCTAACGTTAGAATTTCATAGAACACCACTGCAGTGTTTTCTTAAGCCCCACTTTTTTCCCAACACAAGGTCCAGGTAGAGAAGCAGAAGAGGTCCGGAAGTTGCTACCCCAGAAGTGGAAAGATGCATCATAAATACCTTGGAGCAAGCAGCAAACTCAGACACATTCTTGAACAGGAGCACTGCACTAGACAGTCTCTTTAGATGTTCACACTTGGCTTTGAGGTAGGACAGAAACAAACACCTCCACCCAGCAGCTTAACATTACAAACATGTTTAAAATGACAAGCACAAAGTCCTTTCCATGTCAAACTCTCCATCTGATGCCAAATTTAACACAGAGAGATCTTCCTTCCTCATGTCCTACTACCATTCCTCTTTAGAAACCTTTTAACTGAGTGCTCAGCCTTAACCTAAATTGCTCTGGAAGATGCAAGCCTCTGTGAATCCACCTCCTTCACATTATATGGTTCTAGACACTTCCTTCTGAAATTATGCTTTTGTTTACCTAAACAACACGCAGTCAAACTTTTAAACTGTAAATTTATTCTCCTAGAGCATGCAAATGGCCCTCTGGGCAATGTTTATACACAGCACCTTGCCAAGGTTGGGAAACTGGTATGAACTGAAGTTATTAGCATCTGAAAAAGCCTTATTATGACACAAGAGAAAAATATTTGTTTTACTGCATTTTAATTGAGGCAACTGCACTGTACACCTATTCACTGTGCAGACTGGAATGCTGTTTCCCAGATGCACAAGAGAGATGAAGGCTCTGCTATTGCTCATACTCAAATTCTAATGCCTCCTTCCTTTTCCAGTCTCTTCCCTCATCAGCCTGGTTTTCTTTTCTGTAAATATCCTGCAGCACTATTACCACAAATCACACCTTAGGGTGCAAAGCTAAAGGAAGATGAATAAGCAAAGTAAGCTGAAATTGAGATTTGTACTAAATTCATGGTGGCATCACACTGAGATTGACTACTAAAACCAGATAAGGCCTAAAAAATGTCCATAATCTGATAAATTTAAGATGCTCCAGGTGATTAACAACTAAGTCCAAGACTGTGGCAGACGGGTTATAATACTGTGATGAACAGTTAACACTGGTAACTGTTAACACTTCACTAGGGATGTCAGGGTGCCAGAAGTTTAAAAGTATTTGAATTTTAAAAGTGTTGGGTTTTTTTAATTTCTTGCAATTAATCTCAACTCAGAGGCAGAAGTGCAAGATCACAGTGCTCAGATATAAGGAACAGGTCAAGATGAAGTGTCAAAAGGAAGCTTCAATCTTTTTGGATCAAAAAAACCCAAGCTGTCAAGGCAGAGGCTTGGGCACACCCACATACCTCTGCAGCAACATGAACACTGAGATCTCAGAGCATTTGACATTTACTGTAAGCTGAAGGCAAGAGAAACAAAGGCAAGGAAAGGCTGCTTGGGAAGTGAAGGCAGCTCAAATGCTGGCACAGTGAACATGACTGCTGCCTTCTTCCTTTGCCAACTTGATGCCTAATCCACCCATTCCCCCCAAATTCAGCAAGCCTCCTCAGGCCTCAGAGTGAGGGACCAAACTCAAACTCTTAACATCCAGTCCCACACAGACCAACACACACCGTGCAGCTTTCCCTTCCTGCTGAAATTACTGACACTCCTGCCTCTGAGAACAAGAGGAACAGGAGCAGGTTTGCACGAGACTGTCACTAAATTCATGAAAGAAATTATCTCATAGTGCTTCCATGAAAGTTAACAACACCTTTCTGTACAGAAGAGCAGCTGTGTGAACGGTGGTGAGATTTAACTAGAACAAAGTAAAAATACAGCCTTTGCAACTCCCTCCACCAGGATGCCTGGGAAGGAATGCCAGGGGCTATTTATATTTTGACTGAAGAGAAACATACATAGAAAATAGTTGGCAGGAGAAAACGTCTAGAGAATCAGTATAAAACCCACTTTACTATCAGAAGATAGCTGATTGTGTAAATGAAAGACTTGTGTCCACTACACTATTGCAATCCCATTGTACAATATTACAAATTTAAATATACACAAAAAAAAAATAATCAGTAAGAATGGGACACTAAGGTGCCTGCTACCCAATTCATCAGTTCAACTGGCTCTCAATAACAATATCTGCTGTCCTTTCAGGTGATGCACAACAGTGGGATTATGCATTTTGAATATATGTATATAAGATTCAGTTTTAAGCAAAAAGCATAAAAACTCAACAGTGTAGTATTAAAATTTTTTTTATTATGTTAATTTTATTGTAGAGTTTCAATGTGCCCTATCTGTGGTGATTTGGAAGTTGGTTTTTTTTTTTTTAATGAGAGCCTTATTTCAAATAAAAGATAAGGAGTCTTTTCCTTTATAGAATTCAACATCAACATGTTTTTCTAACAGCTTCTTTAGAGTAAAAATTAAGCTGAGCTGAGATGGGAGGAAAGGTATCTAGATTTCTTCTGTTATAAAACACAATTTTGATTAAGATGATAAAGGAAATTAAAAGGAAATGAAACAAACACAAATGTATTCCATCTCCTCAAAACAAGGATTATTGAAGGAACTGCTGGGCATTCTTGGAGCTCCAAGCTACCAGAAAAACAATACAAACAGATGCTGTGCTGGGGTACAAAATTTCCACTCTCCTTTGCTTTTGGACTGCATGTTTTGTAGCAACAAATGTTACGGGCAAGCAGAGTTGATGACAAAAATATCCTGGATGATCCTCTCCACCACAAGCTGAGGGGGACTGAAATCCACCAGCCCCAGGGGCTGCAGGAATGCAGCAGCAATGAAGGCTGGATCCTAAAACCCCCAAATGCAGCCATTCATCCACCCAGAGCCGCATCTCTGGGAGGTGGGCACCCAAAATAAATTGACCTGAGAAGCCTCATGCACCTCCTCTCTTGCCAACTGAGCCACAATGACTGGTTTTATGCTTGGTTTTAGCTTTCACCAGCTGAAAAGTAAAATGTGCTAGCTTAAGCCACCTTCTTGATAATCATATTTCATGGTTGTTTAAACCAAAATGCTGTGAATCACAAGATGACAAATTGAAAGAGCATACACATAAAGCAATGATAATTGCTGGAGCCATGGGCAGTAACTTGTCATGCAATGTTTATTAAACTGCTTTACAAGTGCCCACACCCTTGGTTAAATGAACAGTTTCTGAAGTAAGCAGGGAAATCTAGTCAGGAAAATGCCTTCCTGAAAAAAAAAAATGTAAAGAGGGAGGAAAAAGATTTCTTGATCTATTTCAAATTTAAGTCTACATTTTAACACTCGAATTATGATTAAATTTGCAAGTAGATATTTCATTCTTTCATTCTTTTTTTGATGCTCACTGAACCCATCAGAGAATGATTAAGGTGATGAATTTGAATGATTAATGAAAGATGAATCTGGGAAGAATAATCTACTCATTCTACATTAAAAGTATTTTAAGATAATTCATTTAAAGATCTGCATTTTGTTTAAAAAAACAAGATTCCTATCATTTGAGATAACCACTCTGTTTTCTGAACAATGTAAATATCATGAAGATACTGTCAATTTTTATTTTCACCATGTTCAGCACTCTTTTTTACGTATATTTTAAACCTGACATTGGAGGAGGGAAAGAGTAGAGAAGTATTATGAATAAAAGGTCTCAGATTTCATTCCAAAACTGCTACAGCAATTAACCTCTCTTGGGAATTAAAAAAAAAATAAGTCAAGCAACACATCTAACTTTTCATTTTACCAAACTAAAGGAAGGCTGACTTAACACTTCCATTCAGTAACTTCCAACTAAATTATCTATAAAACTACTCATTATGTGCACAGCTACCACTCTGAGAGTGCAATTTATTTCTAACTAAACCCAAGTTCTTTCTGTCTTTGGCCCTCTGTGAAGCACAACTGTACCAAGTACAAACAATATGGACATCAAAGAGACACGAGACATATCCAAGTGCAAGTCACTGATCTGGTACCTTGTTCCATCCACTGGCATGAGCAGCTGCCTCCTGCGTGCGCTCCCGATATTCCTGATATGTCACCGGCCTGCAGAAGTTAAACCAACACTGAAAGTTATAAAAGGAAACAAAAGAACGTGAATAAAAAGAAAGTTCTCAGTTTCCAGAGAGCAAAATACTTTCATATATATTACAACAAGTAATTTTCAAGAGCTAACAAGTCTTGTGTTTCAAGACATAAAACAGCAGCACCAGACAGGGTCAGGAAGGCATCACCTTTCTCTCACACAATTTCATATAACTGGTTACGTGAATTTCCTAATAATTTGATACTCTACAGCTTAAAAGAAATTAGGTAAGTAGGTTCTCTGATATGATAGAGAATTTCTAAGCTCTTGCATATGTTTTTTTTTAATAATCTAAGATTTTAAAGACAGAAAACTCCACTAAGAAATTCACACCTGAGCTACAGGCCAATGCAGAGTAAAATTTTGTAAATGATCCAGGCTATGGACCAACACAGACTGTTTCACTGCATAAACATTAGAGTTGAAGCCTTTATTTGCAAGAAACAGCACTTTTCATCACAAAAACCCTTCATACTTGAGTAGAAACCTTTATTCTAGATTTATCACATCTCTCTGAATCGGGATGATGAAACTCCTCTCTTCCATACTCTTTCCTCCAAGATAATTTGGCATCTAAGAGTCAATAACAGCAAAGGCTTTCTGCCAAGTGACAGCAGAAGATGCACTGTTTCAAAAGCAGCTGTCCTCAGCCAGATCATTAAAAGTTCAGACTTCAGTTTAATGGTAATAGTGATAACTGGCATTGGACAGAAAACTGCTTATTGAATACCAGGAACCTGTCATGATCTAACAGCCTACTGTACCCTAACACTTGTTTATATGCATGGCAGAGGGCAGGAAAATATAAGCCAAATTAATAAGTATTGCATCAAACAGCACTACTCTAGCAACAGGGGGGGAAAGAACAGAATTAGAGCACAGTGGGGAAAACATAATTTGGGTCTGTCATTTTAAGGACACTCTCTTGACTTCTTTGACACATTAATTCTTTGAAACCAAATCTAAATCAATCAGTGGGATGAGAAGAGCAGGAACAGCTGCAGGACAGATATTATGAAGAGATTAAACCCTAATTCTAGTTTGCCTTAGAAAAAGGCAACAGGGTTTCACAGGCATTTCTGACTTTATGACAAACATAAACAAAAAAATTAGTTAGAAAGCAAATATTTTCTTATAGAAAAGACAGGAAGCCAGTAACATCAGAATATCAACAAGCTAGAACCACTTAAATGCACAGCTGCATTTATGTAACTCTTCCTAAAGCAGCACCTTCCAACAGCAGCTCTCTACCAACACATTTTGGAGGTCACTCAGAAAAACCTCAAGTAGTTCACACAGATCCATTACGTTTCAGGCTGGTAATTTATAACAGAAAAACAAGCAACTACAATAATTGTACCAATTTGCAGAGACATTAATTAAGATACCAGCATGCCAACTGCAATGTGCTATTTATACAATAAGTTTAAACTGACAGGACAGCTGTTAAGGCACCAAGGTTAGCCCAGGGGCCTGCATCTGCTTCAGATGTGTACCTGAAGGGTGGTCACAAGGTTTGTAACTACCATCCTCCCAGGGAAACTCTCCCACTCATCATGGGCCAGACCACAAACAAACCTTCAGCTCCACTCTTTGTTATAAAAGAAATTAATGTGGCTAGAGCCCAGCATTCATGAAACTGGCAATGGCAGCTGCCAGTTTCACCGGCAACTCAAACTGCTTGAAGCAGCCTCAGAAATTCATTAATAAAAGCTTAGAAAAATTTTGTAACTTACATTGCTGCAAAGGGCAAACACCACAAAGGAGTGTTTGCACACTACATCGCAAAACAAAAAAAAAACCCCACCAAAACAAACCCAACCAGATAAAGGAAGATTGAAAAAGAAAGAAATGCAAGTCCCAACTTCATTTCAGCAGCAGTCACAGTGGAGAAGGAAACACCTTTGAAAAAGCAAATGGAAACTCACTTGCTAAGCAAGCTCTGCAGTGCTTTGTGCAGATGTTCCTTCAACTCCTGGGACACTTTCTCCCCCAGATGAGCCAGGCAGTCTTCTATTGAGCTCTCTGGATTGGCAGGGCTGAACACTGGGGAAGTGTGGCAGTCAAACCCTGTAGTGGTAAATGCTGAGAGAAGAAGGTACACAAAATCAAACAGATTCACAGATGAACATCAACAGTCTTAGATTTCTTAACCCAGCAGTTTACATGAGGGATGAAAAAAATCACAGCTCTAGTCAAAGTATGCAATGTACAAATCACAATAAAAAAATGCCCAAATACATCCTGAAAATGCTACTTACAAGGCAGGGATGATGCTGAGCTACATTTCCCCACCAGCTCTTGTTTCCCAATTGTATTCTAACCAGCAAGTTTGCTGAATGTGCAGCTATTCTCCCATTTTAAGCTGATGCCAACCCTGATGGAGCAGCAAAAGAGCCTCTTTTCATAGTAAATTTGCCGACACATGGACATGACACATCTGCAGCAGTACTAGAGTATCGTTTTTTTAAAATATTTTGTTCATGTAACCTCTTCCTTCTCTGCTTAAATCTTCTAAGAAAGCTCCACATGAATGAACCTAAACAGCTCTAGAGTGTTTCTATTTCAGATTTCTGATTTGCAACACACACCCAAAGCAAAGATGGGTTTGAACTCATTCCTTGCTGGGAGTCCTATAAAAGCCACATCTACAGGCCAAAGCACATCACAAAAACCAGACCTGGTGGAAGGGAGAAATCTGATAGTTTAAGTCCACAATCCTTGAAATATTAGCTCCTGAGGACTTCTGCCATCAAGTGCAGCAGCTAAAGGGCTGCTTACTTTTCATTATTTATAGTAGCCTACTAAATGTCATCCAGTTGTTTGCTTTGGCCAGGCTCCACCACTCCAAATGGTAACCTTTAACTATTTTACTCCATATGATAATGTGTACAAAACTTGTGGGGGTGAAGAGGATAAAGAGATTCAATGTATTCAAAAATCTCTTTAGCTGGAGTACCTGTTACAAATTAACCACCATTACAGTGCATAGAGATTATGGATTGAAACGGGAAAACCTGAAGAGCACCTTCCAAGATTTCTTCATCAAGATGTTTTAGTTCCTCCTCGATCTCTATTTTAATCTTCTCCAAAGCCTCTTTCTCCAGAGCATGTTGTGCCATAAGCTGTTGTTGAGTCCCTGAAAGAAACCAAAAAAATCATTCAAATGTTTTAATTTCATGTTTCAAACAAGGTAGAGAATGGAAGATGGTAGTATAAAGGAATTTGAGGTGAAAGTTCGATTTCAGACAGCAACAAGTATGATTCTTCAAGAGCACTTATTACAGAAGTTTTATTAAATGAACCCATGTATACATTATTCATTGTATAAATGAATATATTACATTCATTACATGAAACAGATAAACTTCCAGGCCTATTCAAGGTAGAATTGGTGTGTTAGATAAAATAAAAAGAACTGTAAGGCTACAAACAGAATACATAGGAACTTTAAAAGCAACATCTTCAATTTAAGACCAAAATCAAACCAAGGCACATAAACAATCAGCAATCATATGTAATACACTTATTATCAAACTACACCAAAACAAAGTAGACTACATAAGCTTGATTTTTAGTGGCAAAATATAAAATTTATATTGATGCCTGCAAGATCTACAACATTCTCAGATCAACTATGCAATGACACCAATGAAGAACCCTGAAACCTGTGAACTGTGCATCATTTCCCTGGTCATGAGGAGTCTACAGGCCACAAATTAACACTTTCACAATTTCACAAGTAAGACTAGAGGTGAAGGACCTCACAATTGTCAGTCAGTTTTCAATTCTCCTCTCCTAACCAAGAAATTTAGGAATTTCAAATGGCTACATATCCCCAGAAGTTCATAAGCCATTGTCTGGCATCACAAACGTATTTTCTATGTGCTGACTCTAGATGCTGGTAACAAAGTTGTTTCAGCCATATCAGTCAGGGTTACATAGACTCTCAATCATCTCAATCATTATGCTGTGCCAAGAGAGACAAAACTGTTTCCAAACAAACCCAGGTATTCAGGACATCTGAGTTTCTCACCCTTTCTGCACCTACACCAAGGGCTACAGCTCTGCCCGGACATCCAGACAATGTTCCTGCTTTACAGACATTCTACACTCAGTTGAAGAAAACAGAAAGGGAAAGGGATTGATCTGTAATGTTGCTATCATCTGATCAATTTCCTCCTCATCACTTTCATTTCACATCCAGATCTTCAGGTAAGTCCTGTAACAGCCAGTGGAACTTTCTGGCACATCTTTTTTCATTCCAGTCTTGAAAGCACTAAATCATAATTTGGTGGCCTTGTGAATGACAGCTTTGTGGCCAGTTTTCTTTGGTTTGTTTCTCTGCTGGAACTCACTTTAAGTGTTGTCTTGCCTTCCCTTTTCTTCCACAATGGACACATATAATCACTACATTTCATTATAGTTATAGTAATAACTACATTTCATAAAAGGGTGTGTGAAAACCATCAAAGCACTTAACACACACATACACAGATATTTAGTTGACTACACACTAGTGAAGTACACTGTGCATTTTCTGTATTTAAAATAACAGTAGACAGTAAGCTTTCAAGGTCTCCTACAATTGAAAAATATGTTAAAAATCCACTGTATCAACCCACTGAATGTGTGTTAATGTTTAAAAACACAGCACAAGGATCCCTCTAAACCAATGTATGCTTAAGTTACTATAAAATAGATATATCTGTCTAAAAGAACAAATGATGGCCAGTTTAATTCCATTTGACTTAACCACACATGTTCAGAATAACTACTTCTTAAATCCCTTCCCAAGCAGCATCTCCTTGCCACTCTGAGTAATAAATTCCAGAGAGGAGCAAACTGTTCCTCCTTTTGGTTTATGCCTTGTCACTCCCTGTCAGTTGCTTCTTTGAAGAACTGAATCACTGCATTGGAGTCAAGTGCAACAAGTGTGTGCAAGTGCCAACCCTTGTGTGAACCTGTGCTTTTTCTTTGTATGGAAGGGACAGAGGAGCCCCCCATTCTCACGGGACTAATGTGACGATGATCACCCATGACAAGCTGTCACACTTGATAAGAAATCACCCGGAAAATGGAAGGAAGAGAAATTCCACTGCTGCCAGTGTACAAAAGAGCTGTTTAGATAATCAGCACTGCAGTCAATGGTTTCCATCTCGTAACACCCACAGCTTTGCAGCAGCTGCTGATTCGGAGAGCACCTGACTGTTCAGTCATGCCAAAACATCAAAACCCTGCCCCTCCCAGAGCAGTGACTTTGCACTGTTTATTCCCCTAATAAAGATTGGATTTCAGCTTTCTGCATCTCCTGGATATTGACTGCTACCAACAAACACTGCACACAGAACTGGAGAACATCAACACCAAAGGTCCTAAGTGAGGGGTGTCTTTTTTCTCAATTAGCCAATTTCCAAGTCACAAACAGGTAGAAGAAAACAGTAAAACCAGCTTATTTTAGATGAGAATATATTTTTGTTATCAAGGATGTAAATGGTCACACCAGAAGTGGTGTTTGTAAGAGCCATAAGCATTGAATGCTTTCCTGTGCTCAAGAAACGGGTTTGCCTCTTCTGAGCAACTCTGCAAGGCCTCTTCCCAGAGGCACAACAAACCTCTGTTATGTGTTCTTTCTTACACAACCAAGTTAGTGCATTCTACTTTCTATTTATGGAACAAATGTTCACTTTGGCACAATTATGTTCCTGTTAAGATTTTGGGTTTCAGGTATTTGGAAGTAACCTAAAAAGTAGAGGAGAATGTGTTCTGAAAGTCCATCAAGCACCGCATCAGGGAGCACCAGACTACCAAATAAATGCAATACTTCAGTAAAACTCCAGAAGCTCAGTAACAATACAAGACTAACCCGTTTGCCAGGTTTGATGCCAGGAGGAGGAGGAGGGATGGAAAGTCATTCATCAGAGCTACTGACTCTGTACATCTCATTTTACAGTGCTTGAGCCAAAACTTCAGCTAACAAGGGACAACCATAAGGAGGGACTGAAAAGATGTTATGCCTTTTTAGTTCAAGGGAATGAAGGAAAAAGAAAAGAAAGCCACTGATGTCACAGATTGCTTCTGATTTTTTTTTTTATTTCATGCCTGTAATTTTAATTTAGCAGTATCTTTGTTTTTCTGAGTTATCCTAAGTCTCTATGTTAACCTCTGTATAGTGAACTTAAAAATTTACTTTTACCAGGACTGTAATATTTCTTTAACATCTCAGAATTTTTAAAACATTAAGACTCTAAAATTACTGTAAGCACTGAGAAGTGACAAAGATATAAAAAACCTCTTTACAAATGTATTTATCTATTTCTTTTAATGAAAAATACATCTGTTACACCAGCAAACTCCAGACCACGGACTGCCACACATAGATGTAACCTTCGATTTCAGAAATGTTTAAAAGAAGCTCTTTATAAGCCATAAGAAGGCTCAGCTTGAAAGAAACTGAAAAAGTCTAAAATATTAAAAGGAGACAAGATATTGCCAACTAGCACTCTTTTTTGGGGGGGGAGAGAGAAGGCTTAATTAAGTGGGAATTCACACCCCAAAAAGCTCCTTTTCCTTGCCTCAGTTTAGGAAATAGCTCCCTTATTACCATGAACTGGACTGCTCTGACCTACAATGTGAATCTTTCCAGCCCAGACATGTTTTCCCTAAAAGGAAGGTCTTTATCAAGCAAGTTCACCATGTAAGATAAAACAACCCAAAAAACTCCGTTTCCTACAAGCCAACAGTAGGTACTGTGTGTGTGGGAAACCAGGAAAATGGCTCAATCACCAACTACACACAACACTTGGTATGGTAATTCCAAAAAGATAATAAATGGTCAAAAGGACATTGTGCATCATAATTGGAATAAAGTACTGTGGATAGCATGCACCTCAGGAAAACTGTCAAAACCTTGTTCACCTCTTGACTAATCTATGTCACCATGCAGTAGTGGCACTGACTATAAATTTTTCAGACACTCTAAACTATGGGATTATTTAAGATTTTTCACTCTTTTAAGGAAAACACAGAAAAATTACTTTTCTTTACAGTGTAGCCACAAGCTGATGGGATGGTGTCAAGCAATGGGGAAGTAGATTAAAAAAGAGAAATACATTAAAAGTCACTCCTTGATAACATACAAAGAAACATTTATAATAAAAATACATTGAATCACAAAACCAAAGGACTTTGACCCACTTGGAAAGTTAGTAATACAAATAACTGCAGCAGAATGGAAGCTCCTGTAATGAGAGTGACTTCAGGGAGAAAAGTGTAGAGATGTTTTCCAATACTTAATAATTATTTTCTGTGTCTGAGCCAGTACTTTAAAGTAGGATAAGAGTTCTGAAAAAACACAAAGCATCTCCTCTCAATCTAATGAGCTGAGAGCTTCCACACATTGTAACTATATGTGCTCATCTGTTGCCTCAAACATTGACTGACACAGGTGATGCTACTCCGTGTGTTTTATCAATTTATCTGATTTTTCACCTATCAGAAAACCTACCAAAAAGTAACAGAATTTAATGCTAATGGATTTTGCTTTAAATAAACTACAGTGACTGTTATGCAGAATCACTGGCAAAACTAAGAGGAAAAATCTCTCAAAGCACTGGCCAGTTAAATTTGCTGGATTTACCTCTGGAGACACTGAAATCCATTAGAGAACACTACAGAGCTATAATGTTAAAAGGTTGGGTTGTCCAGTAAAACTGTCTTTTCTTCAAGAGGCTGGAATACTGTGGATGGTTCTCTCTTCAGCCCCTGTGCTGAAAAGAAGATAGCAAAATAAAGATTTCCAAGTGCTCATCAGGTGTTGATTTAGATCAGCCTCATTTGCTTGAAGCCAGAAGTGATTTCAGTGCTTGTAATTGAAGCCATCCTTCTTGCAACGAAACCAAGACCAATCAAGAGACCCAGAAGGAAACACTGTAAGGTAATTTTCCATGTAATTTCTCTGAATTTTCTACTCATTGAATAAAAACCCTCCAAAAACCATCAGTCTTGCAAAGCACATTAAGTCTGCAAGAAATGAGAAGTTTTAACTGGAAACCTATCAACCTTATCTCAGTTTTTGAAACAGATAGGTGTATACGAGGAAAAAGAATTTGTACAACATACAGGAAACAGAGGCAGAGGGGAAGGGGAAGGGGAAGGGAAGGGATCAAAGCATTACATCTCTCCTACCACTTCTGGCAGAGATAAAATAGTACCACTCCTGTTGGGATGGATCACTTTCTTGGTTGGGTGTTTTTGACTCACCAGATACACTTTCTAGTTTAACTGGACTGTTGAAATTTCACTGAAATCTGGGAGACTGTGGTAGAAAGAGACTCAAGGGAAATACAGAAATCCTAACAACATCCAGCATGTCTTTTTTCCTCATCTCTCATGTACTGTGCACACGCAATGGAAAGGCAGGAGATCCTCCAGTGAGTGACACAAGGTGGCTGGAACTGGGATCCTGCGCTGAACTGCCCTCTAGAGGAGTCCCACACTCTCCCACTCAGGCAGACAAGGAGGTCAACTCCACCAGGGCAAGCTACAACTTGTCCTCCTGGATACTCCCATTTCACTGAATATGATTCAGAAAACAGACCAGGAGTAGTCTTATTTGGATCTAAGAAAAATGAATGAAGGGAAAGTACTGCAAACCAGAGTCAAGGCCTCATATGAATGAAACACAAAATACAGAAGTGTTCTCCAACTGGAAAGGAGGCAAAATTGCTGCTTCATTGCTTCCTGTGGAAGGTCTGTCAGCACAATAACCAAATCAAAGCAAAATAAGATTAAGGACAGGTTTTTTATGGGAATCCTCTCAATTCACAGATCACTGTGTTCAGCCATAGAGCAGAAAGACTCCTGACAAGTATTTTGAAGTGCCACAGAAATCCACAATGGAAGGAATTTGGGATCACTCAAAGTGTTGTATCAACAGCTGGTGGCAGTGCTTGGCAAAGCAGGAAGCAATGCTGTGCTGTTGGTACCTCTCCTGTGTCTATCACCAAACCCAGAAGTCTCCTCCTCATGATGGGATTCCAGACAACAGCAGTTCATTTCCATTTCCCAGCTTTCCTGTCTCTTGTCCTAACCAGGTTTCAGCAGGGACAGTAACACCCAGCTACCTGCCAGCAGTGCATTAGGCAGAGCAGGAAATATCCATTATGGGCTGTGCTCCCTCCTAGGGGATTGCAGATTACAGCAAGCAGCCATCAGCCACGTGCCAAACAATAAGGAGATACGTGCTGGCTACATAAACTGCTCAACAGTCAGTGGGGATGAACACAGCACTCTGAAATAACTACACACAGCCCCAGAGTGCAGCTCAAACACTGCTTAATTACAAGCAAGGTGAGAAAAAGTAGGAGAAAGGATTTTTAAAATGTAGCTAGCAGACAAAAGAAACCTCTCAGATGCATGGACGGTAGAAAACCAGCAGGAAAAGTGTGTTAGGAAAGAATGAAATAAATCCTGAAGCAAATGGTTAAAGCATTTGCTTAGTTCAATACAGCCTGAAGTCTTAGAAAAGCATTACAAAATAGTGAGAAACAAATTAAAAGTAAGGCAAAATTATTTAATCCAGAGGCTACAATGAGAAAGCAGCAAAGTCACTGAAAAAGAGACCTAATTAAAATGAAACATGACCAGGAGAGGAGACATTGTGGTCACTGTCTGGTTTGGGGAATGAGGTGGGGAAAATGTAGGAAGATTTCAGAAGTTGTAAAGTATGAATGCTTTAGAGTATTTTAGTAGCAAATCCAACTACAGACTGCTGTCACACAAGCTAACACATCTAAACAATATCTGAGAAGTCCTCTTAAGTGACCACAAAATTTTCATCAAAACATTTGTAGCTTCCTCATTAGAAAATTTAAATATACCACTGTAATTCAGATTAGAAGCACAGAGGTTTCCGTAATGAGAATAGTTTGAAAGGTTTCACCTTAATTTGTAAATACTTCAAAAGTAACTACAGCCAAATTATTTTTAAGAAGCTTTAAGATTAACATTTTCCTTTTTGAATCTTCTATTTATAGAACAAAGCAGATTCTTACACATTGAACCTTTATATGTACTCAATACATTTCCAGTTACAGCCTAGTTATAAATGAGTGGGATCTCTTCAGAATGAGATGTTATTGCTCAAATAACTACATTTTTCAACATAGGATTTCATGAAACAAAGGGTTTTATGAAACAGCTAAGGGGCTTCTCCCTTCATGGACACAGATGCAGTCAAAGTGGAAGGAGCAAACATACCTTAAATATAATAAGGTTAGTTTTATGAATTAAATATTTAAAAATTTAATTTAATTAATTATATATAATATAATCAGCATATGCCATGTGATTTGGTGGCAAACTGAAAAGCAGTTCTGTCGTAACTTTGATGTAATCTTTTCTTTTCAGGAATTTCTCACTTCATGACAGGTAAGTTCAGCAAATGACAGCGTATGCATTCTTAAATGATTGTTCAAAGAGAAAAAGATTATTCTGAAAACTGTCTCTGTTTGATTTGGTTTTTTTTTATAATCCTCCTTTCATAAGAGTAAGTTCTGAATCACAGAACTAGTAGTGACTAAAATGTCATTAAGAAATGACAAGTCACCCAGGCAATCCTGACAAACAACATTGCTTAAGTGCTTGCCACCACAAAACGAGAAACAGTTTTACCCTCTAGGTTTATGGGAAGCACAATCTACCAAACCTCTTTTATTCTGCCTTCTATTTATTTATTTATTTAACCTCTTTTATCCATAAACCTGTCCTAAAATAAACATCTGACTCTGAGCAGTCCCTTGACTTCTCATAAATAAATAAATAACTAACCAGAAGTAGCACAGGCCACATCTCTGCACCAGCACTGAGTGACAACAACAGGAGCCTCAGTGTAATAGGGCAAAACTATTTAGCACAGGAGATTGCCCAAGACACCACTCAGTTTATGCCAGTAAACACCACCTCACCCCTGCTTACTTCCACTTGTGTCTCAAAAAAATAGCAAGCATGGGCTGAAATTCTCACAATGGCTCAACAACGTTAAAATATATCCATCCCCCCAGCCTCAAGACAGTGACTAAAACCACTTACTTGCTTCCTAAACACCAGTCAGCCCTGGAATAGCTCAAATTAAAACAGTAATCTACATACAAACAGCTTTGTTTCTATCAGCATCTCTCATCTTTCAATTGAAATTTATTCATTTTTCACTGAATAAACCAAGAGATTCATTACACCAAACATCAGGCTCGCACTCTGCACCCCTGCAGAAACACCTGAAGAACTAATTGCGAATGCAGCCGTACATGTAAATGGCTAGAGATGAATATGCAAATATTACCTTGAGTTGGAGGAGGAGGAGGATGCTCCTGTGGCTTCTCCTGTGCTAAAAGGCCCAGGTAGCTGAGCACTACGTATTTGGTTTCATAGTGAAATCCTACAGGCACGGCAGTAGCGGACGCCATCGGGTTGGCTGTGTTGGCGTGGGGCACGTCGGCTGCGCTCTGGGGAGCCCGGGAAGGCTGTCAGGGAAGAGTAAAGTGTTTTGTTTGTTGGTTTATAAGGCTGCAACAGGTCATGAACTCACACGTAACAGGGAATTATGTAACTATCCTGAAGCAATATCCAGGTTTTTGCCCTGATATCCTATGCATTCTTATTTTAATGAGAACCATGCAGAGTAAACCCAAGTGTGCCCCAGTGCAGCGCCCTGCCTGCTGCCAGCAGTGACATTTCTCACTCCTGCATGGCATGCTCACACTCCCATGGAAGCCAGTCCCTCACCACGTGTCCTCCTCCCAACACCTCCCATCTCAACCACATGCAAAAACACACGTTCATGTTTTGAGGGATTCTGAACACTTCCTTAACCACAACATGTGGTAAAAAGCCGGATTCTGAGGAGTCTCTCATTCCCAAAGCCTGCCATTAATGTTTTCTCTGCTTTCTCAGATTTGCTACTGTGATGCTCAAAAGTTGTAAAGCAGAAAAAAGTGACCACAATTTCCTCAAATTAGTTTTACTGTTCCAACAGCAATGGAAAACATATGGTCAACAGAGTAAATTCCACACTCAATGTAGGGATTGGGAGAACAGATGGTTGTTTGTCCTGGATTTCTCACCCACACACTATTAAGTATAAACCAGAAATCCACACCTAACAGCAACATCTGGCCAAAGAACTCCTCCCTGTTTCACTCTAATTGTTTTGTTGCTTTTTTTAAATATCCAAATAAGACCTGCAGGCAAAACTAAGGCAGAGAGAAATTAAAAACAACATGGTAAAAAGTAAAATCTCAAGCAACAACATGGAAGTGTTGGGAAGTGGGGGAAAAGCCATGCAACAGATTAAAAGGATGCTTGAGATTAATCAACATGTTTTAGCTCTTTTTGTTTGGCAAAGTCTGGATAACTACCTGCAACATGCTGACACTTAATGGATCAAATAATACTATCCAGGAGTTTCTGACAAACTCTTCAAGTTAAGTACTCTAGGACTACAAAGAGTCAGTCCCAAATAAGAGTAGCCCATTCTTGGCCACCAGAATGGATGTCTAAATAAAAAGCACATGAAAAACTTTGTGCTACAGAACAGCTACTGAACAGGCACTGAAAGAACCATATAATTTAGTAATGTGAGACTACAGTTACATTTAGAAGAAAAATTTTATCAAGTTTAAAGTTTAAAGCAGTTAGAATGAGTAAAATGCTATATACAGGGAAGAGAAATTGGACCATCTCATAAGAGTTATGGATTGCACTGGAAATGCCTTGGGATTACAAGAAAGAATCAGGTTCCAAAACCAAAGAACAATCTGCAAACAAAGCCTCAAGATTAAAAATAATAATAATAATAAACCAAGAAAGCAAAAGAAAAGCACTTGCCTGTGTAGCTATTCAAGATGTCTGGGCTAACTTCTAATCCCTCCTTCCTGAGAAGGAATTCAGATTAACAGCAGTTGTACACTGCATTATATATACAGTTTATCTGTTACTGCAGATAAACTAGAACTGTGCTGTGGCATGGTTGCTGTGGGAGTAGGTAGCTTGGCAAAGAAAAATTTAGCACCAAACTAAAAGCTGCAAAAGGAAAAGAACTGGTATAAAATTGGCTGACTATTCTCTTTAGAAACTCTAGTTTCTGAAACTCATTCAGTACTGAAAACAAAAAAGTGCAGTCTCATGAAGACCATACTGTGGTAGCCCTGCCTCTTGCTCCATGTATTTGAAAATGCCTGAAAGCCTTTTCCAGAAAGGTTCAGTTGTGTCTTTGCTACAGCTTGAACCAAAGTAGTGACTTATATACAAGGGAAACAATGAACTTGGAGTCAACACTTCATCTGTGCTGCCTCCTCCAGCCCAAACTGCTCCACGGGCAACACATCCTGCTTCAGAAACTTAAGAAATTGCAGAGAAGAACCACAGCTTTTCCACAATACAGTTACCCTCGAGCCTCTTTCTTAGCTGAGATTTTCACAGAGCAAGATCTGGAAAAAAATAACTGCTCTGAAGACTTTAGGATCCTTTAACAATAGATCTGCTCTTCAGACCAGACCCCCACACGCAGTCACCACATCACATGTCACATCACCAGGTGTGAAAGGTGCCATTCACCAAAAAGCAAAAGCTCCCCAGCATGTTTCAGTTCTGGTTTGTTCAGTAGAGATCCACAGCCTGAAATCAAAATGCTTCTCACAATGCCTACACAGTGAATGGGAGCCCTTCCAGACAACCTGAACTGATCTCTCCTGAAAAAATCAGCCTGACAGATGGTCCAGAGACATCCAGAAACTGTGCTACGGACCAGAGAACAAGTCTGAATATAGAGGAGAGATAATTCTTCAAAATATAATTCCAAATCAATGCAGAAAATGAAATTCTAAAAGTTAATCCAAACAAGCATGATATCCAAAGCAGCACAGTGCAACAGGGAGGCCTAATTCACAAAAATTACAGCGTGCTTGGCTCAGCACTTCTGAGGGGAGGAGGGGAAGAAAGAGAAAGCAGAAAGAGAGAATCAGACCACTGCTTATTTAAATAGTGGCTAATGTTTCCCTGAGGAAAGAATGATAAAAAAAAAAAATACCTTGGTGGATATATTTTGAGAGGCAGTTTTATACTGAAATGAGAAGGGAGAATTAAGAACTTCAATGGAAGAAATCTTCATATTCTTCAAATAAAAGAATGTCATGAGTGCAAGTGCATTTCAGAATCACTGGTCTTCCTTTCAGAGAAGCCCACAGCACAGTAACAGAATGACTCGTTTTGGATTGGGAATGACTGGCTTTGTTTACAAAAAGAAACATAGAAATATTGACTCAGATACTGTAAATATCTCAGAAAAGGCCATTTTTCAGGAATGAATGGGATTGAAAAAGGACACACAGCTTGAGGGACCAGATCAGAGGAAAGAGAGCTCTCTGCTAAAGGAACAAAATGGAAGAGAGTCCAGAAAGTGTTTAAGAGGATAAGCTTGTACAGGAGATGCAATGGAGCAGAGGAAATATGGCGTTACACAGACTCCCTAACTCTCAAAGCCAGGGCAAGAGGGTTGCTTCTGGTTTAACAGGTTCCCTGCAGAAATACTGTCCTTAAAAAGCTACAGAAATCAACATTACCAATTACTCCCTACAAAACCATTCACCTTTCCCAGTTCCTGCACCCTTGGGGGATAGAAAGCTATACCTGTTGAAGCTTACTTAGCTTGTCACTCCTCCGGCCCTGCTGTCACTTGTTTCATGTGGGCTGAGCTGCTCAAGCGACCTGAGAGCAGGAGTTGCAGTAGGACTGACATTTCCCCATGCAATCTGTCACGTCCTAATCCACAGCAGAGTTATAAATTGGATAACAGGCAGCACAAGCCTACCAATGAATACAGCGAATATAATCCCCAGCCATGAGGCCAGGCTGTGTTTCAGTCCCTGTCTGTAAAACCCTACTGTGCATCAAGATGTGTTTACTGCGCCTCATTCAAAACCCAAAATGCAACATCACTGCTCTACTGCCCAGAGCAGTTCAGCTGGTTTCTATAAACCAAACAGGCGATCAATGGATTTCAGAAACACCAGCACTGAAACAGCAGCACCACAGCCCTCAGCTTCCACTCCAAAATAGTTATTGCAGAGCTGGATGCATTCCCCACCTAGAGCCCAGGCCTCACTTACCAGCACAAACCCAATCACCCTGTGAGCTGCTGTGGCAGAACTGCTCCTGCCGAATTCTTGCAGAGCACACACGGCTCAGCCAGCGAGCACCAAGCTGAGCACGGGCAGGCACAGAGGCAGCACCACGGCAGAGCTGCAGCTCAAATCATTTTTAGGGCCGCCTGACATCGATATGCTCACGGTTTGGGTCGTCTTCCTGACATCAATCTCTGAAACAGGCAGCCACTCTCAGCTACAGCCTCGGGTTTACACGGTGCTCTTTACAAAAATGTACCAAATTTCAAGGAGTTGCAGGTCTACAAAACCACACCCTGCATCAACAAGATGGAAAATGTTCAGGCATTCTGCAGCCTTACCAGCAGGCTTGTGTGGGGATTTCGGGTGAGACTTGCATGTGTGGGCTAGTTTAACCTTGCAGCAGTTTGTCTCTGAAAGCACTTCCCATAACAGGCAGGACTATCCAAAGCACCCAGTTGTGATCAACTTGGGAGATAAATTCTCCGGAGTACTTTTCCAACTGTGTATGAGGGTATGACTAAGAGATTGTTTATAATAAACTGAGGACTATCAGTTCAAGAATGTCAGTTCCTACTGGAAATGAATCAATACTGCAGCCACTACTGAGCCTCTCGTCGTACTTAATGGATAGAAATACTGGAAAACATAATTGTTCTTTATCTGGACAGTGGTTGCAGATGACCTTTGACAGAAATGCAATTAAGTGAGCATTCTAGGCAAACGGTGTGATTTCTTTTCTAGGAAGGAAAACAAAAGCTACGTACATTATCCGCTACAAAGGTCTTCAATCCTTTGCAGCTCCAAACCATCCCACCACAACATTAAATGATGACAAGTACAGCTTTTATTAACAAACTCCCATCCATTTTCCATTTTAACGTGCCTATTTGGGTTTGAGAATCCGAAAAAAGCCGTTCCAAGTTTGAGCGGCGTCGGAGCCGCCGGCGGGAGCGCAGCGTGAACCCCTCAGTTACTACGGCGATGAATGAGATATTTATACCCGGGCGGGCGGGCACGGCGTCGGGATGAGTCACCGGCGGGGCC